TTTTAGTAGAGACAGGGTTTCACCATGTTGGTCAGGCTGGTCTCTAACTCCTGACCTCAAGTGACCCGCCCACCTCTGTGTTTCAAAGTGCTGCAATTACAGGTGTGAGCCTCTGTGCCCGGCCTGCCCGATCCACTTCTGGTTACTACTCAAATCTTTCCCATATGGCATGAAACAAAAGTCTTTCTGAAAAATAGTTTGATGATATACAAGAAGAACTTTTAGAAAGATCAGATCCTCTGCTCCAGGAATTACCATCTCCACGAATCTATCCAAAAAACTCATCAGAAAGGTAGTCAAAGATCAGGTACCTGAGTGTTCAATAATTTCCTTATTCACAATAGCGTAAAAATAGGATACAAACCTACAAATCCAGCAACAGGATGATGTTTGTAAATGTTAGCATGAAAAAAAATGCAATACAGATGTCAAAAATCGTGTTTTAGAAGAGTATTTACTAACTTGAGAATGTGCTCAAGATACAAAACAAGTCAAAAAATCAGGCATGACAATATCATAAATAGTATAAGCTTCAGTTTTTAAATATCTGGGTAAGGGGCGATTTTTTTCCTTCTATATAGTTCCTCGTATTTTCACAAATTTCCACAGTAAGCATAATTCACCTTTATAATCCAGGAGGGAATACTTTGGAGGTTTTCTGTTTTTTTTTTTTTTTTTTTTGGGACAGAGTCTTGCTCTGTCACCCAGGCTGGAGTGTAGCAGTGTGATCTCAGCTCACTGCAACCTCCACCTCCTGGGGGTTCAAGTGATTCTCCTGCCTCAGCCTCCCGAGTAGCTGGGATTACAGGTGCGTGCCACCAACGCCTGGCTAATTTTTGCATTTTTAGTAGAGACAGGGTTTCACCATGTTGCCCACGCTGGTCTCTAACTCCTGACCTCGTCATCCGCCCGCCTCGGCCTCCCAAAGTGCTGGGATTACAGGTGTGAGCCACCGTGCCCGGCTGGGAATAGTTTTTGTTCTTTTTTTAAAAAAAGACTTTCTTTCCCATAAAGTAAACAGAATAATGGCTTATTAAACTATGTCCTCAGGGCTGGGTACTGTGCAGCATGCCTATAATCCCAGCACTTTGGGAGGACAAGATTGGAGGACCACTTGAGCCCAGGAGCTAGAGACCAGCCTGGCCAACATGGTGAGACACTGTCTCTATAAAAAATAAAATATTAGACAATGTGGTGGCTGATACATGTCTGCAGTTCCAGCTACTCGAGGCTGAGGTGTGAGGATCACTCGAGCCCAGGAGGTCAGGGCTGCCATGAGCCGTAACAGCACTGCTGCTCCCCTCTACTATGAGGACCTTTTTTTTCTTTTTTGAGACAGTCTTGCTGTCTCAAAAAACCTATTCCTAGTGAACTGACTTACACAGTTTTTCTCTAGCTCCAACTTCAATGGGATAGGGGCTTTAATACACACTAAGTTACTTTACGTCATTTTCAACAAACCTTTGAAATAGATATTTTATTTTTTTGAGATGAAGTCTTTCTCTGTTGCCCAGGCTGGCATTCAGTGGCCTGATCGTGGCTTGCTGCAAGTTCCACCTCCTGGGTTCAAGCAATTCTCCTGCCTCAGCCTCTGAGTAGCTGGGATTACAGGTGTGAACCACCATGCCTGGCTAATTTTTTTACTTTTAGTAGAGATAAGTTTCCACCATGTTGGCCTGGCTGGTATCCAACTCCTGACCTCAAGTGATCTTCCCACCTCAGCCTCCCAAAGTGCTGGGATTACAGGTGTGAGCCACTGCAGTAGGCCTAAAATAGATATTTATAATTTCAGTTTTGTAGATGGTGATCCCAAAGTTCTGAGAGGTTAAGTAACTTCCCCAAAGTTACATAAATTGCTATTAATGAAAAAAAGAAATATTTAAACCTAGATCTCTTCGGCTGCAGATCTGGTACCCTTCCTCCAACAGGACGTGTACAAGGAGCCACGTGACTGGAAGGAAGCGGGGTGTCAGGGTGCACGACCTACCGTGTGTTGGGGCCCCAACCAGCAGCACCTGCGTCAGAGTCCCGTTCATCAGCACACGGCCACTGGACAGGGAAGTACCCAGTTTCCCCATTGCCTGTGAGAAGCAATGAATCAATACTGTATAGCAGAGAAAGCTTCCTTGGTGTGTCCACTTCGCTGTGGGGGAAGGCCTGCCATACCTTGTCTCCAGAAATGGTAAACGAGCTCTCGCTGTTTGGTGGGAAGTAGCCATACACCCTCCCAAGGCTCTTTTTCTCATCTCGGATGCGTAACAAATGGCCCAGCCTACAAGGAAACACACTGGGCTTGGCTGCCAGGGAGCGACACTGAGGGCCAGCCCGGCGCGAAGGTGCAAGGGAAGGAAATGCACCTCCCCCCTCCAGGCCTCCCAGCAGGGTCTCTGGCCCTGTGACCGGGACTGTCGGAGTTCTTCTAAAGATCCAGGCTCTGCAGGTGCCTCAACCCCCACCCTGCCTCCCAGCTGACAGCAAGTATAGAGGTACCTATTGTTAGAGACTCAGCTGTGGTCCCCCCATCCCTACACTGAAGTCCTAACCCCCAGTATCTCAGAATGTGACTCTATTTGAAGACAGAATCTTTAAAGAGGTGATTAAGATGAGGACCCTGATGTAATACAATTGGTGTCTTTCAAAGAAGAGGAGAGGCAGGAGGATCCCTTGAGGCAAGTTTGAAACCAGCCTGGGCAGCATTTCAAGACCCCATCCCTACAAAAATGTTTTTAAATTAAAAAAAAAAAAAAAGCTAGGCATGGGCACACAAACTTGTAATCCCAGCTATTCAGGAGGCTCAGGCAGGAGGATCCCTTGAGCCCAGGAGTTTGAGGCTGCATTAAGTTATGATCACCCACTGCCCTCTGGCCTATGCAACAGAGTGAACCACACCCCCTCCTCCAAAAAGAGCAAAATAGAAGTGGGGAATGGGTCACACACAGAGGGAAGACAGCCATCTGCAAGCCAAGGAGAGAGGCCTCGGGAGAAACTGACCCTCTGACCTCAACCTTGATCTTGGACTTCTAACTTCCAGAACCGAGAGCCAATAATACACTTGCCTATTGTATTTTTAAATTTCTACGGAGAATCTGCAACCTTGTCCTGAGCCTTGCCCTTTCCTTCAAAGGCCAAGCATTTCCTCACCCTTTTCCCTGTGCCCCACACTCGGTGGGCTCCACAGCAGCAGGTGCCTGCCCCTGTGTTCACGGGTCCCAGGCCTCAGCACCAGCCTCACCTGCTGGCATTCCTCCAGGTGGGGCTCCCCACCAGCAGCAAGGTTCTGTTGTCCACGGTGACGCTGTGAAGGGAGTATCCCAACCAGGCAAAGTCTTCCTCGCCTCTTACCGTCCAGTTGGCCGCCTCCACGTTCAGTTTTTCTAAAGAAGACAACCCGTCCCTTTTGTTAATACTTTAAGTGAGAGGACTACTGGGATGAAAAAAAGAAGGGTCCTCTTTGCAGCCTAATAGAAATGGGTTCACATTGCTGAGCTTTTGCTGAAAGTCTTATATGTCCTTATGATGATCCCAGGACCCCAACGTCAAAAATGAGAAATCCATTTCCAAAGCTTCTGTGGAGCTGAAGATGTTATTTAGAAAGGCCCTGGGACAGGTGTGGTGGTTCATGCCTCTAGTCCCAGCACCTTGGGAGGCCAAGGGGGGCACATCACCTGAGCTCAGGAGTCCAAGACCAGCCCAACCAATATGGTGAAACCCCATGTCTACTAAAAATACAAGAATTAGCTGGGTGTGATGGAATATGCCTGTAGTCCAAGCTACTCAGGAGGCTGAGAAAGCAGGATTGCTTGAACCCAGGAGGCAGAGGCTGCAGTGAGCCAAGGTCATGCCACTGCACTCCAGCCTAGGTGACAGAGGGACACTCTGTCCCCCCTCCCCCAAAAAAAGGCACAGTCGACAGCACCTGTGAGATGCTTTTGGTGCAAAGCCTCCTCAGTGTTTCTATTTTACGTGGAGACACTATGACAACAGTCTACTTGCCCTCTTTGGGTCTCTGCCTAGAAGCTGTGGGTCACTTTTTGTATGTTGAGTGAATCTATGTACATCACTTGCCAGAACGTCTTTAGGAGTAACAGACTGTGTGAAAATGTTGGTGGAATGATGTGGAATACGGAAAAAGGACATAAAACTGTGTGCAGGGTAAGTTATTGTACACACAGCGGCCACGGTCTCCACCCATTCCCCCATCAGGCACTACCTGTGTCGCTGTGGCTGGGGCCGGAATAAAACGCAGCCACCATTCCCTTCTGCTTCCCTCTGCCTGGGGCAAAGGGGGAGCCAATCACCAGATCAGGCTCACTGTCTCCATTCACATCTGCAGCCAGCAGAGTCCAGCCCAAGTTACAGTAGACGTCCTGAAGAGGAAACCAGGAAAGCACCTTTTACCCAGTCCTGGTGGCAGCTAGGATACAAGTCCCAGGTTTCTGCGCCTGGCTGAAGTGGTCAACATACCTGGCAAGAGATGGTGATGTTAGGGGCAGAAGACATTCTTCCTTGCTTGGAACCAAAGTAGACATACACGGCACCCTAAATAAGGACAGACAGCAGACAGACATGAGGCGCTGGTGGTGACCCAAGAACCTTAAATTGCGGCGAGACAGCACAGACTGACTCTGGGTCCAGGTGTGGCGGCTGATGCCTATAATCCCAGTGCTTTGGGAGGCCGAAGTGGGAACACCGCTTCAGGCCAGGGGTTCAAGACCAGGATGGACAACATAGTGAGATCCTGTGTCCACAAAAAATTGGTGTCTTTTTTGTTTCTTGTTTTTTGATTGCCCGTGCTGGAGTGCCATGGGGCAATCTCGGCTCACTGCAACTCCCACCTCCCGGGTTCAAGCGATTCTCCTGCCTCAATCTCCCTAGTAACTGGGATTACAGGCGAATGCCAGCCACGACACCCAGCTAATTTTTGTATTTTTAGTAGAGACAGGGTCTCACCATGTTAATCAGGCTGGTTTCGAAGCCCTGACCTCAGGTGATCCGCCCACCTCAGCCTCCCAAAGTGCTGGGATTACAGGCGTGAGCCACCGCGCTCAGCAAAAGATTGTTTTTTAAATTAAAGCAAGACCTTGTCAACTTATCACCGCCCCTGATGACTAGGAACTTAATGACAGACAGAAACCCGTCCTCTGCTTTGCTGCTGGGCTGAAAGGAATTGTTTTAAATCTGTCGCTTCCATCAGACTGAGAGTCCGCGTTGCAGAAATGATGCTGTTTTCCTCTTTGCCTCCCCAGCGTCTTGCTCAGGATCCTCCACACCAAGTGTGCAGTGCGCTTGCAGAGTGACTCACTCAGCTCTGTGCCCACCTCGGGCCCAGCAGTTTCGGGCTCTCCCATGAAGCCTCCCCGGCTGCAGCCCCTTGTACCCATGGCACATCTCAATGCCAACACACCATGTGTACCATTCGCCCGCCTGAGGATACAGGCTGAGCTGTTTTATTCCGTGTTATCTATCCGTTCCTCTTATACCTTGCCTGTCTCCATCCCCATTCATTCCTAAGCACTTTTTTTCCATCCTAAGCCATGTACTCGGTACACAATGGCAAGTAAGACCAATCTCTGCCCTCCTGAAAAGCAGGCACACAGGTCATTATGACACCCACGGTAGAAGGAGCTTTAACAGGTCCAAGCACAGGATTCTGTGTGTGGACAAAGAAGCATCAGCCTCACCCAGAAGTTAGATGATGCTTTTTGCAAGAAGTGGCATGTCACTCCTAAAGAAACATGGGAGGGCCGGGCGCGGTGGCTCAAGCCTGTAATCCCAGCACTTTGGGAGGCTGAGGCGGGTGGATCACGAGGTCAAGAGATCGAGACCATCCTGGTCAACATGGTGAAACCCCGTCTCTACCAAAAATACAAAAAACATTAGCTGGGCATGGTGACGCGTGCCTGTAATCCCAGCTACTCAGGAGGCTGAGGCAGGAGAATTGCCTGAACCCAGGAGGCGGAGGTTGCGGTGAGCCGAGATCGCACCATTGCACTCCAGCCTGGGTAACAAGAGCGAAATTCCGTCTCAAAAAAAAAAAAAAAAAAAGAAAGAAACATGGGAGAAGACGCTTTTCAAGCAGAGGAAACTGTACAAGCAAAGATCGCGAAGTCAGGGAGCCTGATGAGTTCAGGATGTGACAGGCGCTGGCACGTCTAGAAATGGAGCGTAAGAAGGGCGAGACGGGAGCCTGAGCAGGGCAGCCAGCAAGCGGGGCCCGTGGCCTCCGTGGTCACACGTGGCTCCCGGATGTGTGGGCCCTGCTATAGTATAAAGCCAGCCCTGTAGACCAGGGCCCAAGATCTCAGCAGGCAACAAGCTTGGATCAAGCATTTGAGGAAAGGCTCAGGGAAGTCACCTCCCTTCTGTGATAACCAGAAACTACAGATTAGCTGGGATTTCTGTCTCCCTTCACTGGCCTTCAGCATGGTGGGGGAGGAAAAAAAAAAGAACAAAATACCTGGTGCAATTGGGAACCTACAGGGCCAAATCAGGCTAGGCAGGCAGCAGCAGGAGCTACAAGGTAACTCAAGGTCACGGCAAGAACCCCGTAGGGGCCTGAGATCATCTACTAACAAATGCCCTGGCTGCCACACTGGCTGTCTGCTTTGCTCCAGAAGCTCACCCCACCAGTGGCCTCCCTCAGACCCCTCCCTGCCCACCCCATTCTCCTCCAGCCCTACCCCAGCAGCAGCCTTACTTTGTAGGTGAGCTGGTTGGAGCCCACGGAGGGAGCGCCCACAGCCAGGTCAGGCACGCCATCTTGGTTAAAGTCCAACACCGCCAAGGCCGAGCCAAACCGACCTGAGGGCTGAAGAGGCACAAGTTTACTTCCCCTAGGCTGAGCCACATCCTTGGAAACAGCACTCCTGAATCCCAGGGTGCCAAGAGGCCTGGGGAAAACCCCAGTGCCACCGAAAAGCCAAAGGTGCAGCAAGCCGTAACACATCTACAACACATCAGTTAGGGAGCTCTGCCCTAAGCATATTTTCAGCATGTCTGTCTGCCTTGAGAAGAAGCAAAGATGCCAGAAAGTAGAGGGTCGAACTTACAAGTTCTAGGTTTTTCGAAAATAGCCTCGTGTATGTTCTGACCCACATTAAGCACCAAACTTATCTTTGAAAGTATCTAAAATAGGCTGGGCACTGTAGCTCACGCCTGTAATCCCAGCACTTCAGGAGACCAAGGCAGGTGGATCACCTGAGGTCGGGAGTTCGAGACCAGCCTGGCCAACATAGTGAAACCCCGTCTCTACTAAAAATACAAAAATTAGTTGGGCGTGGTGGCACATGCCTGTAATCCCAGCTACTCTGGAGGCTGAGATGGGAGAATCGCTGGAACCTGGGAAGCAGAGGTTGTAGTGAGCCAAGGTCACGCCACCACACTCCATCCTGGGCAACAGAGCGAGACTCCATCTCGAAAAGAAAAAGTATCTAAAATAACAATCATACAACATCAGCCACAGTAGCTAACATTTGTTGAATACTCAGGATGCTCCAGAGACATGCTACCCAAGGTGGGAGCCCCCAGCCAAAGAGGACTGTTACATTTAAATTCAAAGTAATTAACATTAATTATAATTAAAAGTTCACTTTCTGGCCCTGCGTGGGCATGGTGGTGGGCACCTGTAATCCCAGCTACTTGGGAGGCTGAGGCAGGGGAATTGCTTGAACCTGGGAGGCAGAGGTTGTAATGAGCTGATATGGCGCCACTGCACTCCACCCTGGGCAACAAAAGTGAAATTCCAACTCAAAAAAAAAAAAACTACAAATTGAGTTTCTCAGTTGCAACAGCCACATTTCAAATGTTCAAAGCCTGTGTTTTCTGTCTCCTTCACTAGCCAGCACAGCTATAGGACAGTCCTATCAGTGCGGAAAGCCCTGCAGGACGGCGCTGCTGCAGACGCTGTTCTAGGCTGTTTCAGCAGATTAAGGGGGGAACTGTTAGCACCCTTTCACAGCTTACAGATGGGAAGCTCAGTCTCTTCAGGGAGCGATGACTTTCTACTTCTTTCTTTTCCTACTGTCTGGAATTGGCCTCGACCTGAATGCAATTCATTCACAACTTAGGTAACAATCAACGGCCTTTCACACACAGTGGTGGTTGCCACATAATGCCCATGCTCAATGACCCAGGTTCATTATTTATTGGCTAATCTCTGCACACCCATGGGCAATGGCATCTATGAGTACTGCCCTTTCCTATAAGGTAGAAACTTGATAAACACAACACACCAGGGCAGGGTGGAAACCAGTAACTGGGGCCCTGCCAGTGAGAACTGGTTCATTACATCACCATCAGCTGCACCATCCAGCCCAGCATTGCAAGAGGAGCACAGAATTTTAAATCAGGCAAGGCCTTGAGATACCTGTCATAACCTTCATCGTGTAAATGAGGACACGGAGACGCTCATCTCAGTCAGGGCCTGAAGGCAGGATTCCTATCCCTGGTCCATGCCTCTATCTTGCCATCTTTGAAATCATCAAAGGTCATTCAGGGAGGAGGGCATGGAGCCACTGGCTTCCTCACCCAAGTGGTCTTTGAGAGAGTGTATCACCCACCAGAAGCAGCTGCCTCTCTTATTCCCTGTTCACACGCGCCCAAAGCTTTATACTTTGCACAACAGGGTCTGACGGGGAAAGGCTTTGTAGAGAAGTAAGAAGCAACCGGATTAGATAGATTTATTTTGGAAATTTTTCATTTGGTGTCAGAAAGCTCTGATAAATGCTGTCCCTCTGAGACTGTGACCTGATATAATGGCCAGTCCCTTCCTTGTACATGCTGGATTCAGAACTCCTTTCATCAGAGCCTAAACTGGATCATAAACCACTGCACTTATTTTTCAAAGTGTGTTCATGGTTCACTGGGGACGGTGGCTCACACCTATTATCCCAGCACTTTGGGAGGCTGAGGTGGGCAGACTGCCTGAGGTCAAGAGTTCAAGACCACCCTTAGCAATATGGTGAAACCCCGTCTCTACAAAAAATACAAAAATTAGCCAGGCATGGCAGTGTGCACCTGTAGTCCCAGGTGCTTGGGATACTGAGACGGGAGAATAACTTAAACCCAGGAGGCAGAGGTTGTAGTGAGGCAAGATCACACCACTGCACTCCAGCCTGGCCAACACAGAGTGAGTCTGCATCTCAAAAAAAAAAAAAAAAAAAAAAAAAAAAAAAAAAAAAAAAAAAAAAAAAAAAAAAAAAAAAA